ATAATCTATGCATTTTCTCATATAACAAACTATCTGAAGAAGAAAGCATTGTTTCGAATTCGTTTTACCAATTTATCCAATCATTTCGTTCCCTATTTTGGCTCGACTGAAAGCGTTGGTTTATTCCACACGACAATTCGGATATAGAAGAGATTTTCACAAAACATCATTTTCTCTCAGTTATTATCAAATGTTCGATGATATTGGAGTAAATGTATTGATTTCTTTTGTTGAACAAATGAAATTTTCGTGTTCGCTTTGACTTCGAGTTCATCCTTACGGGAATATGAATTTTTCTTTACTTGAACGTTTAAATTCTTCCGATGAATTATTTCTATTGATCGATCAATTTAAAAATCCTCCAATCGCATAATTTGAATTTAAGTATTCATCTTCCTGATCATCCGAAAATTAAAAATATAGTTGTGGCTAACGAAGAATTTTCTACATTTGAGAAGAGACCAAAATTCACTTCATCATCAATTCGATTTCGGCATTCAACAATGAATTGACATGTGTCTATAGTTTTCATTCAAGTCATGTACTTTACAATCAATTCTGTTGTTCCTGTTAATGAAATTGCGCATTACTTTCATAAATTGTTAACAAACCGAAAATTTTTTAGACTTTTGTTTCAAGTTTTTGAACAAATATTTTTATTTCATTACACACTTGACGTAAAAGTATGATAGTTCAGAAATGATTTCGAACAACGGTAGTGTTTCTCTGCATATAGCACTGATGGTCTCGATGAATTCAATGTTACATTCTCCATACGAAATATCTGTATACAGATGAAGAGTATCGCGGTTATTTATCATTGTTATCAGGTAGACATTTTTTTCTAATTTCTTCTCTCTTCAAAATACCGTACTGATTAGGACAAATGCAATACAAAATATTTATTTCTTAGAGGAAATCTTTATAGTTTTCGCCAAAGAATTTCATAGGATTAAGATTTAACCAATCATATTAAAGATTCGTCTATTTTTTTGCCTCCAGATCGGAATTATGCGTACATTCTTCACACGTGTTTATCAAAGAATTGAAACAAAGAAGTAGAAGGATGTATAAATAAAAAAAAAAAGAAAGACTCTTTCCAATGTGACTCGCTGTTTTCTTTTTCATTCCTTCTTTTCTTCCTCAATTCAAAAAAATACTATTCAATTCTTCGCCAATAACAGTATTCTATACGCATTCAACATGTCGAGCAAAAGTGCGAAACGAAAATATGATGAATTGGCTGATGAGATGCAAAATACAGAACCTACTTCAACAGTGTTTGATAAACTTGAGATTTCAACCGAATATATTATTATTTGGTTCGATGAAAACTTCGAAATGAGAAAACAATACATGATAAGCAAGATCAAATTAAGAGCTATTGTGGATTATTTAATGTGGTTTGATGATATGGACCGGTGCGAGGCATATCTACGTCGATTAAAACATGAGTATGTATATTTTGTTATATCATCTGATACAGCTCAACCAGTCGTCGACCGTGTTCATGATCTTCGCCCGGTACATTTAATTTATATTTATAAGCACGACATCGAACTAAAAGTGGACTGGATTGCTAAGCATACAAAAGTAAGTGTCATACTGTGATACAAATAGGGAACGAAAACAAAAACACAGCTTTTCGATGAGTCGTTTTGGATAAGTGACTTGTAATCGTAGAATTTCAGGCGAAGACAATATGAGTTTCACTTGATTTCAGTAGTTTTTGAAAATTAAAGTTGAAAATAATTTTATAAATTTTAGTTCCATTGTAGATCAAAACGATTTTCAACAATTACATGGATCTATTAGAAAATTTGTCCAAAGACCTCCAACTATTTGGTAAACATTCGAATCTCGAAGCTGCTGCATTGTTTTTAGTTAGTAAAACCGAACGTACGATTCAGCTTGATGCAGCGCGTACAAATTCACATTGGTTTGCATTATTCCTACGCGCCCTTATCGAAATTGCACCGCCATCAAATAACAAAGAGAAGTTTGTTCATGAGTGTAAATTATTTTATAAAAATAATGAATCCGTTTTGAAAGTAATTGATGAATTTAACGAAACATACGAAGCTGAGCACGCTGTTTGGTGGTATACACGTGCAGGATTTTTATATCGTCTTCTTAATCAAGCATTACGACAACAGTATCAAGACGCGGTAGTACTACTTCATTTCTTCATTGTTGATCTATATAATGTTTTACATCGACTATATGAACAACAGATCGACGATACTGCTGAAAAGGAAATAATGTATCGCGGTCAATTGATGAATAAAACAGAGCTTAAAGTATTAACTGACAACACAAATTATGCGATGTTGATAAATAGTTTTCTATCCGCAACACTCGATCGCCAAGTAGCAATGATCTTTGCAGGAGCAAAATCAACAACTCTTGATGATCCGGTTCAGTCAGTTCTATTTGAAATATCTGTACAACATGTCGATACATGGGGTAAAGAAAAAGTCTTTGCAAATATTCAAAATATGAGCTTTAATCAAGACGAAAGTGAAATTTTATTTACACCTGGTGTCACTCTTGTACAACGTGAAGTACTTTACAGCGAAGAAGAAAAAGCATGGATTGTACATATTGATATGCATCCATTGAACACCGCTCTACGTTTAACAATTGATCAACAACTAATGGTTCTAGAATTAGAATTACATATTTTGATAATTGAAAATGAAGGAAAAATAAGTCAAAACCCCGATATCAATTTTACTAACACTATAAATCAATATATTGTACCAATGGTCAAACGAATCACAAATGAATCTCATGATTTATCGAATCGATTTGTTTTTCGTATTTTACGCAATGAACTTCGTCAATTTTTTTATATTCCGTCTGACCATACCATTCGTTCAACGCTACATGGTTGTTTAGGTACAATTTGTCGTGACAAGAAAGATTTTAGTGGTGCTGTAGAACACTACCTAAAAGTCATTGATGGCAGTGAGAGTCGAAAGTTTTCCTATCAGGTAAACTTGGCATTTGTATACAAGCTACAAGGTAATTTTGAACAGGCATGGATTGTATGTAAAGATTTGATACGGTCAGCTCAAGAAGATACTAATAATGAAGTTAACGTCTATGAAGAAGTGGCATTTGGATCGATTAGGCCAACAAGTTTAGAGCCATATGATATTCCTGCAGAAGATGTTCGTAATTGTGAAGATTTTATCGATTATACTGTACAAAATGCTGATTGTGAGCTTTATTGGATCGAGATAAAGCAAGCATATTTACTAGCTGGTAACTTCTATAACGAATCAGAATTCGTTCTGAGATGTTTCAAAAAAGCCTTAGCAATTGTTGAAAAATATGCACCAACATGTCATAACGAATTATCTGAGTGTTATCAAAGACTTGCTGAGGAATATCATCGCATTCCTGATATTCAATTAGCTATCGACTACTATAAAAAAGTTATTGAGGAAAATCTTGCGTTTAGTATGGAGGACGATGATAGTGACACGAAAAGTTATGATAGCGATCGTGACTCGGCGTGTGACACTGCTCTTGCTTACAGCAAACTGGGTCAACTAAGAGCTGAATTAGATGATGACATAGAAGTTTGGAATTCTTTTCGAGCATCTTTTAACTGTTGGAAACATGTGAGTCCGGGCGATCGCTGCTTGTATAGTCTGGCAGAATCGTATAGATGTCTTGCTCTCGTGTATGAACGTCAGCAAGAGTGGGCTCACGCGATTAATCAGTATGAGCTAATGCTCTATATGACTCTTGAAAGAGATCCAGAAGACAAACGTGCTGTTGACGAATGTTGTACGTCAATCTTGGATATTCAAAAGAAATTAAATGGTTAGTAAGATTTATCATGATGTTGGAAGTTTATCTTTCTATCTGTTTCTAGGAATAGAATCAACGACAAAAGAGCAATTATTAAACCGTTATAATAGTCGATTACCATTGACTCAAACCGACCTCACTCCAATCATTAATCAAACTTTTACAGAAATGAATGATAAATTAAATGGCATCAAGGAGCGTTCGATCAACATTTCATCTCGAACTAATGAATGATATCGAGATTTTTTCAAAAATGTTTTCATGTATTCATTCAATGAGAAAATTCCAAATGAACTGTAGTTGAATCTCGACATATAAAGTGACTTCAGGATCAGAATAAATAAACAAACACTTCTCTTAGAATATAATATTTAATTTGATTTTCATATTTTCATTTCAGATAATATTTTGAGGGTGTAAACGAGAGTCCCTCTGGTAACTGTTACACCTACGCCCTCAAGATTTCCTACCAAACAAGAAATAGAAGATATACGATTATCACATTTGAATCATCAGGGTTGATATTCACGGCGCTGTTGTTTTGTGAAATTTATTTTACGCTTTCGTTTTTACACTGTTATTTTTCTACTTTTGTATTCGTACGAAGTTGAAATTTTCGTAAATTCATATGATGGTAAGAAGAATTTTGTAAAATTTGTTCTCTTGTGTCTGTTGTTTTTAAAGTTTTCAGCAAACAGCATATTCTTTCATTTTCAAGCAAAAACAAAACGAAATAAACATCGGTACTTTATACGAACCATCGATTTCAAGTGTATTATCAACTCAAGGTTGTATTTCGCCAAATAAAACAATGATGTATAACAATCATAAAGCAACGACGTCATATAGACGAAGTTTTTTTTTATGGAGCTTCTTCTATTCTTTTTCGAAAGATATCTGCTAGAGGCTTCGGCATAACGCTTCTTTTTTTCTCATCCATATAATGAGATTGACACATTGGTGAGCGAGTACTGACATTTTGAAAAATAAAATATACACATATTTATCGTGTAGGTTGCAACGGCATTTGAGAGTCAGTAGAACGATTAAGATAAATGGTACGAATGAACGAGTAAACAAATCAATGTTTGTGCTAAAACATTTGGTAAGTGGAAAAGGATGAGAAGAAAGATATCGTTCGAACCATGAATCGTATTTTCTAGTTACATTTCGGAAATGTTAAAGATCATTTAATGATTCTATTTGGTATTTTTGCTGCAGCTGTTTATGCTATAGGTCATTTACTATTTGTTCGACTATTTGGTGAATTAGTTAGTTTATTTGTTTCACGTGTGTCTACTGTACAATGTTTTGACTACGATCCCGTCAAACAGACCTCAAATAACACTTTAGATAAAGAGACATTTCATAAGAATGTGAGTGCGAAAGTGACTCAACTTACAGGTATGAATACTTTGGAGATAATGCTTTCTGTCGATTACGATGTTAAGTTATTAGTCTCGTTCAAATTGTGACTAGTTATCTTAAGTATGTTTCTTGTGATTTATCTGCAGCTCGGTTGGCAAATCACATGAGAGCAAGACTTTTACAAGCTACGTTTGCTATAGTATATCTTGTGTCCTATAATTCCTGTTCTCTCATTCATTATATGTGATTCTATAGAATATTTCATACTTTGATACTACAGATATATCAATCAACAATCTATTCGAGTAAACCTTGTCTTGACGAATGCCGTCATACGATTGTAATCTTCCTTTTCAGAAATATTGCTACCGTGCAGTCCGGCATCGGATGGACAAGTTCCGTGACATTAAGTGCGATCATTTTTGTTATCGGAAGTCTTATTCTTGCATTGTTCACCGACTGGAAACTAACACTGATCGTCATTATCGGAGAGCCACTGAGTGCGGGCGCAGCGTATATGTTATCTAAAGTAAATTTCAATGAATATAATAATAACGAAAGGATTTTCGGTGTTTAGTTAACAGCACGAACAACTATTCTAGAATTGGAGTCTTATGGGAGTGCAGGACAAGTTGCACAAGAAGTTCTTTCAGCTTTTCGAACAGTTACGGCATTCAATGCACAACAAAATGAACAAAATCGGTAAAAACTATAAATTCTTTCCTTCTATCTCTATATACGGTAATATGTTAGATATGCATCGAAGTTAAAATACAATACGAAATACGCACTTCGAAAAGGTCTTATCTATGGGTTTTATGTTGGCGCACTCATGATTTTTACTTATTGGACAACGGCCCTCGGTTTCCTAGCTGGAATATGGCTAAAATCAACAGGAAAACATCCCACACTTGATATTAGTCAAATCGTCGTGGTACGTTCCGTATTCGCTTGATTGAGGATGAATACATTTGAACGCATATAGGTCGTAACATGTATGACGGAAGCGTTACAGTTTTTTGGCTATCTCGCTCCAAGTTTAAAAGCATTTTTTGACGCGTGTAATGTTGCCGATCCGATTATTCGATACATCGAAGGTGCAAAGATCAATCAAACTGAAATATCAGATAGAAAATCTTTGAAAAGATTGGAAGTAACTCAACCCGTTGATATTGTTTTTGACGATGTCTCATTCTCTTATCCAAATCGTCAGCAAGAATTAGCATTAAAGAATGTCAGTTTCCAAGTCAAAGCTGGTGCAGCTGTCGCGCTCGTCGGCAGTTCAGGCAGTGGTGAGATTGATTATGCCTGCTTGCTTTTTCTTCTTCAAATATGATTGTCTCAATAATTCGAAGGTAAAAGTACATGTGTTCAATTGTTACTTCGCTTTTACGATCCAACCAAAGGACGTATCAATATCAATGGTCATTCAATTAAAGATTATGATAAGAAGAATTTACGTGAAATCATTGAGGCAGCTAAACAAGCTAATGCGCATGATTTCATCATGAAACTTCCACATGTACTTAATTCTTTTTGAATTCTTTTTCTCATTTTTTTCTGTTTTCTATGTAAGAAATATGACACATTAGTTGGTGAGCGAGGTGTACAATTGAGTGGTGGACAACGACAACGTATTGCTTTAGCACGAGCTCTTATTCGTCAACCAAGTTTACTCTTACTTGATGAAGCAACAAGTGCATTGGATTCGTCGAGCGAAAAACTTGTCCAAGAAGCACTTGATCGCGCTGTTCAAGGTCGAACAACGATTATTATTGCCCATCGACTATCAACAATTCGTTATGCTGATTGGATCATAGTTATGAAAGACGGTTCGATAGCTGAACAAGGTTCACATGATGATCTAATAGCAATGAACCAATCTTATTATGAACTAGTCAATCAGCAACAAATGAATCAACGGAGAGCAACGATGATATATTGACCAATACAGAAGAGATTGTGACTGAACTTCCACAGGTATGTAGTACATATCGTGTGTCTCAGTGTAACGCATCGAATTCCTTCTATACATTGGCGAAATTATTTAAACTGAACGTACCTGAATGGCCGTATCTATTGGTTGTTTGTTTAACTGGAATATTATGTGGTGCATCTTATCCAGCTTTCGCCTATTCCTTAGGCGAAACTATTAATGTAAGTAATGTTGCATCAAAAAATTATTAAGAATTGTTTTTATTATTCATTTCAAGAATGTCCGATTTCAGCGTAGATGGATCGAGTGATTATTTTCACCCGAATCATCTTTCTCCTGGGCATTGTTAGTTGTATTATTCGTGTCATTCATATGAGGATTTATTTTGCTCTGAGGGATTATATCTAAATCTTGATAGTACGTATGTTTGGCTCTAGTTGGATCACGACTGACCAATCGAATACGAACAAAAGCATTTGGTTGGTATGACCAACCTGAGAATAATATTGGTGCACTCTGCGGACGTCCTTCTACCGACGCATTAGCCATTCAATCGGTAAGTATTGGTTAAGCTATGCAGAGTTCTATCGGCTGGTTTAGTTAACTAGCGCTCGACTTGGCCTACTGATTGAATCGTTATCACTTTTGGTGATTGCATTAATTATCGGATTGATATTTTCATGGCAATTGATATTAGTTGTCTTTGGCCTAATTGTATTTGAAATGACTTTTGCTATTCTGGAAGTTCGAAGAAAAAGCAAAGTACAAACTTTGATTGAAACAGCATTTGCAAATGCTAATGAAGTTCTNTCTTCTTCAAATATGATTGTCTCAATAATTCGAAGGTAAAAGCACATGTGTTCAATTGTTACTTCGCTTTTACGATACAACCAAAGGACGTATCAATATCAATGGTCATTCAATTGAAGATTATGATAAGAAGAATTTACGTCAAATCATTGGTCTTGTCAGTCAAGAACCGGTAGAATTGATGATTCTATTCTTACATCATGTTTGACTATTCGTTTTCAAAGATTCTTTTTGCAACATCGATAAGAGAAAACATCAGCCATGGTAAAGATAACTCAACATTCGACGAAATCATTGAGGCAGCTAAACAAGCTAATGCGCATGATTTCATCATGAAACTTCCACATGTACTTAATTGTTTTTGAATTCTTTTTCTCATTTTTTTCTGTTTCCTATATAAGAAATATGACACATTAGTTGGTGAGCGAGGTGTACAATTGAGTGGTGGACAACGACAACGTATTGCTTTAGCACGTGCTCTTATTCGTCAACCAAGTTTACTCTTACTTGATGAAGCAACAAGTGCACTGGATTCATCGAGCGAAAAACTTGTCCAAGAAGCACTTGATCGCGCTGTTCAAGGTCGAACAACGATTATTATTGCCCATCGTCTACCAACAATTCGTTATGCTGATTGGATCATAGTTATGAAAGATGGTTCGATAGTTGAACAAGGTTCACATGATGATCTAATAGCAATGAACCAATCTTATTATGAACTAGTCAATCAGCAACAAGTGAACTTGAGTATTACCGAGATATCGAAAGAAATGAATCAACGGATTGATAATCACACACCTGTGGTGGATAATGATGATATATCAATCAATACAGAAGAGATCGTGACTGAAGTTTCACAAGTATGTAATACATATCGTGTGTCTCAGTGTAACGAATCGAATTCCTTCTATTCATTGGTGAAATTATTTAAACTGAACGCACCTGAATGGCCGTATCTATTGATTGTTTGTTTAACTGGAATATTATGTGGTGCATCTTATCCAGCTTTCGCCTATTCCTTAGGTGAAACTATTAATGTAAGTAATATTGTATGAAAGAATTATTAAGAATTGTTTTTATTAGTCATTTCAACAATGTTCGATTTCAGCACAAATGGATCGAGTGATTATTTTCACTCGAATCATCTTTCTCCTGGGCATTGTTAGTTGTATTATTCGTGTCATTCATGTGAGGATTTCTTTTGTTCTGAGGTATTATATCTAAATCTTGATAGTACGTATGTTTGGCTCTAGTTGGATCACGACTGACCAATCGAATACGAACAAAAGCATTTGGTTGTATGCTACGTCAAGAAGTTGGTTGGTATGATCAACCTGAGAATAATACTGGTGCACTCTGCGGACGTCTTTCTACCGACGCATTAGCCATTCAATCGGTAAGTATTGGTTAAGCTATGCAGAGTTCTATCGGCTGGGTTTAGTTAACTAGCGCTCGACTTGGTATGTTGATTGAATCCTTATCACTTTTGGTGATTGCATTAATTATCGGATTGGTATTTTCATGGCAATTGATACTAGTTGTCTTCGGGTTAATTTTAATTCAGATGATTTTTGCTATTTTGGAAATTCGAAGAAAAAGCAAAGTACAAACTTTGATTGAAAGAGCATTTGCAAATGCTAGTGAAGTTCTGACTGAGAGTGTACGCAATCTTCGTACAGTTTTTCAACTCAATAGGCAAGAACACATATTAAACAAATTTCAGCATATCCTCGATGAAATTTACAAGTAAACAAGCACATAAGTTTTAGTTCTCAGCTTACAGAAATTCTTCTTTTAGTATTACACGTCTGAGTACGTATAAAGGTGGTGTACCATTTGCATTGTCGTTTCCGATTGCTACATTGATCTTACCGTGTCTCACGCAGTTAGCTGTCACTCTTCTTGACAGAGATCTAATCGATGTAGAACGGATCGTCTTGTGAGTTTGCCTTATTCAATCGGAGACAATTCGGTTTATGGACGTATTTGATAGATTATTTGCGTTTGTGCCGTTTACTTTCGACGTTATTCAAGTGACGACAACGATGTAAGACAGAATGTTTTACCGCTGGACCCGAAAATCATTTTTCATATAGATCCTCTGACTTAGCTGGAACAACAGCAGCAGCGAATCATATCAATCAATTGTTTGAACGCATTCCGTTAATTGATAATATGGCAACGAGTGGCAAAACAATTGTAAGTTCACATGAACATAAATAAATTACCATTTGCCATTTTTCTATTAACAGGAGAATTTTTCAGGATCAATTCAATTTGATAATGTTACTTTTTCTTATCCGACACGAAGATTAGTTAAAGTACTCGACGCTTTTCAATTGACGATTCAACCTGGTATGCATACTTTTCTTTGTTGCATTCGATAAATCTTCTTTCTTCAGGACAAAGTGTTGCTTTTGTTGGTATGACCTTTCATTTGACAATTCTTCGTTGAAATCGTGTCTAATTTCATTCAGGATCAAGTGGATGTGGTAAATCAACAATGGCACAGTTACTCGAACGATTTTATGATAGTAGCCAAGGACGTGTTGTAAGTAATCTCGACATCTTCATCAGCCATTCGCCATCCATCTCTATTCATATGTAGTTACTCGATGGTCAAGATATAAGAACATTAAATATAGCATGGCTACGCTCTCAAATTGGGATTGTTAGTCAAGAGCCTTCACTAATCTTAGGTCTTTCAATAGGAGAAAATATCTCTTATGGTTGTTTACCAAATACATTCGATCGAACAGATATCATCGATGTAGCTAAACGAGCGCATTGTCACAAGTTTATCGAACTGTTACCTCAAGTAGGTTGTTCATTTTGTCTCAGCTCGTTAGATGATTTCCTGTATGTAGAATTATGATACGCTTGTTGGTGTGAATGGTGCATTTTTCTCTGGAGGTCAAAAGCAACGCATAGCGATAGCTCGAGCCCTATTTCGAAAGCCGAAAATTTTGATTTTGGATGAAGCAACGAGTGCATTGGATGTGCATAACGAAAAGGCAAAACTATGAACTTGATATGGTTGAAAGATCATTGCTTTGTCTCTTTTTCTTTAGCTGGTGGAAGAATCATTGAATGCCGCCAGACAAGACGATCCATCTCGAACTGTCATTGTCGTTGCTCACCGTTTATCAACTATTCAGTCGTGTGATCTTATTTGCGTTCTTGGTCCGAATGGACGCTTCTTAGAAAGTGGCACACACAACGAATTAATGGCACGTGGTGATGCATATTACAGATTTGTACACGATCATGTGATATAATGGGAATAAGGAAGTTTTTTCACAATAAACCATTTTTCTACTAAAAAAGAGGACTAACCTAAATAACGAGGGTCGAACTGAAGTGCTGAGAAAAATCACGTAAATATAATTTCTGAATATTCTTGTATTCGCTTAAGAATGCCAAAAGAAAATACATAGATCGATGTGCATGGACGCTTATCTTTCACTCTTACGCCCATGTCGTCATCAGAGTAAGAACTAAACAAAAGAGAAATCATATTCGTGTGTATTTTAAAAAGAATGACGACAGAGAAAGATATATTCTGCATTTACATCTATCATTTGTCCTCAGTGATACATTGAGAGAGAAAACAAACATTGTCTTTGTCCATTGTAACACTCATTTACCTTTGCTCATATCCACACGTGTATTCTCTAATTTTTCGTTGCAAATCGACAACAACAAAATAGGTACGGTTCTTATTTTCTTTTATTTCAAATGGTTGTTCCACGCAGTATAGCTTCAAGCAATGAAGGCAAAAAGAAAGGAACGAAACGCAATTTCGTTATGATTTGTTTGGCTTATGTTTGTTCATATACTTCATTGAATGCAGTTATTAGTTTACAATCAAGTATCAACACTGATGCCAACGTTGGCCTCTACTCATTGGCAATTCTGTATGGTAGTTCGTTAATCACATCACTGTTCTTTACTACTCCGATTGGATACATTTTCGGATACAAATGGTCGATTGTTGGTGGACAACTTGGTGCGATGGTATACGTAGCATCGAATATGTATCCACAACAGTGGCTGATGTTTTCCAGTAAGAAAATTAAGAATTGAGTTTATGAAGAATAGATAAATGTGTTCTATTTTTAGCTGCTGTGATATGTGGCGTATTTCGTGCTTGTATGTTTATGGCTCAGGAGGCTTATGTTTCTGTTCTCGCTGGTGGTGAAGATGAAAATGATAACGATGAGAAAAAAAATCGAAAATATTTCAGTATTTTCTTTTCCGCATATCAATCAGGTCAGTTGAGTGTTATTTTGTACGTTGACGTGATAGTTAAATTCTAGCGGAAATCTGGGGCAACCTCATTTCTTATTTGGTCTTACGAAAGAATCCAGCTACAGTGGAAACCGATTTGGAACAGTGTGGAGCAAATTTCTTGGAAGAAGAACAAGAAGCACAGCTGGAAAGCGGTCAAATTTCTCCAATCACAGTATGATCTCTTTCACAAATCATTATCTCAATGACGTGAAAGTTATTTAGACATACATTCTCTTCAGTATATTCGCTGGAGTGATCATGGTATCCGTGTTGTTGGTGATCATTTTGCTCAGTCAGAAACGCGAGACTAAAAGTTCGTATTTGATATTCAAAGTATCTTTGTTCATATCGATATTTTGAAGAGGATGATTCGAAAGGTATATGGCATCAATCAGTCGAATTTTCCTTCACGACTTTAAAGACATTGTTTAAACCTATGCATTTGATCATATTTCCATTGGGATATTGGACAGAATCTGCACAAATGTTCTTCATGAGATCGTTTACCAACGTAAGTTCACACTAAACCTTGATGAATGAGAATATGCTAACAATCGTTTCGTATGTTTGCAGAGTTTCATTACCTGTTCAATTGGAATTCAATATGTTGGTGTGTATATAATTCGACTAAAACAAGAAAAACAAAGTTTAATTGATTCTGTTCTTGCGTTTTCAGGATTGATTATGACAATGTATGGTGTGACTGTCACTCTGTCTTCGATAGTTATCGTGTTTTTAGTCAAACGAAAATACAGTCGTCCGATATGTTTCATACTCGCAGCATTGTTGAGTTACTCAGTATTTATTGTCATGTTGATATGGAAACCAACATCGCCACAGACGTATGTGTTATTCATTCTTCCATGTTTATCAAGTATTTCAACTGGTATTACCGAACCTTTTATCACAGGTTAGAAGCGAAATATTTGTAGATGAGATTCAAAGTAAGATCTGTTTTCATTCTAGCTATGTATAATTCGGTATTTCCGGGCAAGAAAGATACAGCTTTCTCGTTGTTGACCTTCGCTCAAACTGCAAGTTGTCTGATTCTCTTATTGTACGCATCCGTGTTACGTCTGCGTATACAAATCATTCTTCAGCTAGTTTATCTCACCCTAGCGATGTTATCTTACATCATCATTTCAATTAAACAATATAGGTCTTCGAATAAGAATGATGATCGACAAATTCTTATTCTGAACGACAGTGTCGTGGCTTCTTCAATTCAAGAAACAATATAACATAGATAATAGATGCACAAAATGAAAATAATGTCCTTTTTCGCTAAGATTGTGTAAGCACTTGAAATTAATTGAAAGGAAAACCATAGGATTACAGGAAATATGTCCTGTATGGTTGTTTTGTGCATGATGAATATTTATTAATTAGTTTTTCAACAAAGAAACTGCTTGATCGCATTTGAAAAGGTTTTCTTTCACTTTCTTGCGTAGAAATGCCTCGATTGAAATCGGCAAAATAAACAATCACACTGTGACAAACTCTGTTAATCAGACATTAGTCAATCTCACTGAAAATCAATGTGTTTGTGAAATGATACTATCGAATCAAGAGATATCCGGATTGAACTATTTTTCAACAAATCAAAATTGTCAAATTTTATTGTCGAATATCTTTGAACATTCGATTCTACTTATCAAGACACAACGCTGACGTTCAATGGAAGTTCATAAAACGGTGCAGGTTTTAATTCATCGACGATCACAGGTTATGGCTCGAGTCTTTCGTTGTCAATAGCATCGAATCAATCAGTTATTCTCGTCACATCGTCTTTGAATCTATTTCAATATACGTCACTTTTGACTGATCTATGTTTACATTTAACAATTCGAGATAGAAAATTGTTTTTTTAGCTTTTACTGTAATGATCCTGTAGGTAGAAGAAATGTGAGTGCATTGAAATGGCAACATGCCGCGTATGTTTTCAGTTGTACCACTTGAAATCAATCGATTTACTTGAATGGAATATTAGATATTACGCGACAAGCAGGTAAATTTATGACGACGGGCCACTGAAAATAAATGGATCGCTGCGTTGGGTCTAACAAATATTGCCAATGGAAAAATAGATCAAGCGATTTAAGTAGGATTATCCAATAACTCGTATTTTCGTATAGCCGGTTTGGTGCTTCTAGACACTTCCAACTAATCCTATTCGATATCGATTTGGATTAATCCAAATAGGATCCAAACTTCACCAATAGTTTATGTATCGTCTGCAAACAATAGAAATGGCTCGTGGTGTCTTGGTATGCTCAGTTTAAGTTCATCAGGTCGGCTAACCACAATATCATCCACTGGAAGTGGTGCGATCTCGATCAACGGATCTGTGCTAATGCCAACTATGTGGACATATACTATAATAACTTATAGTATTGGAAATGGGCTTCGTCTGCATACGAATGCTACTAGATGTAATTGTACAACTGGTCAATTCTTTGGTGTATTGGATGAATTTCGCCTCTATTCAAGAGAACTGACGACTCCTGACATATTATCTTTGTTTAATAATCAAATTTTCATTTTAAAGATTGCTTGCCTTTCTGATCCATGTCCTACATTTTTATCTTTTACACCTTGAGGCGATAATAATAGGTTCGATGCACTTTTACTTAGAGATTATTTCGCTATCCGTATCTTCGTACTACATGCACAGACTCTGATTAATTGTTAGTTTCGTTTCTGCTATTCTAATCGTTTTTTGAAGCGTTATTTATAAGGTTCATTTGTAAAAGTACGATGTTGCGTTTAATGAATAGCTGATTATTGGATGGAAGTCTGGAAAGGGGCGTGATAAACACATCTTTTTCCATAAAGAATTTCTTTGACGTTAGTTATTTTTAGCGCCAAGCAGGATAGAATGTACTGTGTATCACGAATAAAGATATATGTGCCCCGGCGGTGTTAGCAACGGCGACATTTGTCGTTGTTGAAAGAGAATATCTTATTCATAGTTGTCAATCATCTCTATTTCGTTTTTAAACTTATTTATATATGCAAATTTTTTAATGTTTTTCTATTTGGAAAACACTTTTTCTATTTGTCATTTTCATCAATGTTGCTGTTGGTTCCACAGTTGTTTGCCGTAGTTTCGTACAAAAGAGTTGTTTCAATTCTTTTCGAAAAACTTTTCCCGTCAATGTAAATAAATAAAACGATGTGGAAGTATTGAGCAACGCTAATAAAACCACGAATGTTGCAAAGAAACTTTCTATTTGTTGCGCCGCAACCGTTTTGTTTTGATGCAAAGTCATTTCCGAATAAATTTTCTGTACTGAAATGGGCAAAGTAAGTATCCCAGTGCAAATGACTTGAATGAAAAGCATCGCTGTTAACTGTCGATCTTTGAAATTCGACTCTCTTCGCAAGTGTTGACCTACACGAACGTTTCGTATTGTCATCCAACCCAACATCAACATTAGTATTGGCGGGAATAAGCTGAATGTGACCAGTAGGTTGAAATCATTCCAAGTATTACAGAATGGTGTAGCAGGATAACAATTAGCTGATTGAACATTACCATCAAAACAAAAGTTCATTTGAAAATAAACCAAAATGACGAGAATGGCAATCAAAACAACAGCTCGACGTGCATTTTTTACTTGACTGAACGAACGAATCCGAACAGTAGACGCACTGGATGCGTAACGATCTGCACAAGCTCCAACAATAAACCATGCAGAACCTGCTAGACCAATGTACGTTAGGAACGTTTTGGTTTTACAATAGAGAGCCATTTGTGTCAGTGGGGGGTTGATTGAGTAACTACCCAAGATACGAGTGACACATCCGAAATAAATCGCAAAGAAGTTGCCTATACTCGATGCGAAGAAATAAATTGAACAAGAATTGCGTCGGAGTGATCGACGACTGAAGATAATACAATTAAGAGTATTGCCGATTGTGCCGACAATGGTTGTAAAGAGTGGCAGGTAACGAACCAGTTGACCTTGCACAATCTGAATCATTGTCAACGAGCTCATATTATTAGATGTTGGACAAGAATTAAGATGCACAAAAGACCATTTCCGTGGATTATATAGAAACAAAGTGTCACTTGTTCTAGCTCCTTATTTCTAGTTTTGCGCTTGAATAGTGCGTAGAAGATAATATTTCCTTGCGCAAGCAGATAGACTAGAAAAAAACTTGAGGTGAATCTTTTAATAACTCATTTCTTCACGTTGATAAAGAATGCTGAACGGAACGTCAGAATATTTTTATCTTGATTAAAAGGCATACAAAATTACAGTACTCACTCTAAATAATATACTTAATTCACAATGCACTTTGAATCTTTTCTTGATAGTCACGCTGCTTCATCCTGTTGACAGTTTGGTCTTTATGTATATAACAACTCAGATGAATATGTTTCTTAAAGATTCTCTTGGATATAGTTTTGAGTAATCAATATGGTTTCTCTTAGTCTTCATAGAATTATATGACTAGTCGACGGATTTGTACGAGTTTGAAGTCTGAATGACGTCCTACTCGAGAATATCGTCGCACAAAACTTCGACCGCAGGCAATTGTAAAACTTTTAATCAAAATCTATATAAAATTATACTAATGGAACGTATCGTGTCTTTGTATAACGGCTAACTCATAAATAGAATTCTAAGCTGTGGATATTTTAGCAATTGAACACTTAATATCGTCTATCGTTGGTTACTTCTTTTCAATTCTCTGAATCTAATACTATCCGAAAACTCTTTCTTCTTCACCGTTGGATCCAGTCCCATCGATTCCAGACCTTGATTACATGTAACACAGGATGTGCGAGTAAGGATGTGATTCGGGGGATGAAACTAGTTCCTGAATGTGCAAACGTTGAATATAAGAAGTAGATTTTGAAATATTTCTAATAAACAGCTTCGTCTGATCTTTATATAAGGTCGATGTTTGAACGAATGAGAAGAAGATCAAAAGTCTTGGCACACATGAGAGGAAATAAATACCAAGGGATAAATACTTCTGCCAGTGTATTGATAAATTAAAACATGTGAAAACAAAACATCGAATACTAAACGTGGCAAATTCATTATACAAAATCGACGCAAATTGCCGATTCCTTTGGAATTACTCAAAAATGACAGAATTACGTATATTGAAAATATTCATGATGACATGATATTTCTTCAATATGCGCTGAAATTCTTGAATCCAATCACACGCCATAAACGATTATTCTCATAATCCATAACAGATCTTGACTAACTTGCCGAAAAAGGAACTCATGTGAATAAATTACCAATTGCAAAATTATCAGCAAAATAATACTGATTTGCTTGTTGAATTTTGACGCTCGGTATAACGAAGAAACACGTTCAATTGTCACAAATGTCGACAACCAATCGTTGAATACTCAAATAATTTACAGAATTGCATTGTCGTTCTTCGTCGAATCAGAAACAAAAATCAAATGGATTGATAATCGATAATATCAAAAGATAGGTCCCACGTATAATGTACGTGAACAAGAGTAGACTAGTCTACTTTCAATAGTAAATCTCTTATGAAGTCAATACAGTCTCATAATTCAACACCACACTTTTTTAGGAGCCTTCGGAGTGAGTAAGAATGGAGATACAAATGGCACTCGCCCATCCATATCATCATCCCTCATATCATAGATAGATCCAAAAATGATACTAACTTAATGTATGAATTTTTATTTTTATTGAATTCTGTATAGTGAAGATTTATGAAGAGTTTCAGTAATAATAATCAAGCCTGCTGGATGTTCTATGGAATAATGCGTATGCGAGTACCGTAATTAAAAATAAGTTGAAGTACCCATGGAAACTGGCATTTATCAAGCTCAATTGGTAATTCATGTTGCCGGCCAGAGCGGCGGTTTTGCATCCGTATAAATCGGCGATAACAGTCTAATTCAAGCTCGATAATATCGTTCACTATATAGTCACTCACATAATCCTTGTAGTTACAAGAGCACTAACCGTGTAGGTATACTGCATTGTTTCCTCCAACTAACCAACCGTAGGATGATGGTGTAGTGTTGGAATTATTTTGTATTGGAGTTGATTTCGAATTAATTCCAAAAAAGAAAAATCCATTATTAAAATTTTCGATTTTGAGCTGGATTTTATGTACACCTCGAGAATATTCTCCTTTACCTCGCACATGTGCCATATATTGATTGTTATTCTGAATAACAACCATACCTTCATCTTGGAGCTGTGCGTAACCGGACACTTGTTCGAATTTCTTCCACTGCAATTGAGGATGGCGATGTAAAATTTTCTTTGAGTTATTCCAGCTGCTCTGCCCAACGTTTAGAATCTCGCTCGTCAAATATGTTGTCCTTTCGCGATTGCTGTAATCTTTCAACCATTTCTCGAAAACGGCTTGAGATCTCTATTCCATTAGTAGTAGCATGAGTTATGATCTCATGACGAGCTTCTTTTGCTTAGATTCGTTTTCCCAAGCATCAATGCGATGTATAAGTTCATGGGTACGAGGATCGGCTTCTGTTTGGTTCAGTGTTTGCTTAAATGTGTCATGTTCATCGGCAAGTGCGTCTAATTCGGTAGAAAGTTGATTACGGTGCTGAGTTAAATCAGAGAAGCAGAATATTTTCTGACATCCTTCACATCTCAAAATCCCAATCGGTTTAAAACAAATTGTGCAGGATGCTTTTACAGTTGATGGTGGTCTTTCGGAAGTTGTTGCCGACACAGCTGCCATTTGGGTTTCACTTTGAACTGTTACTTTACTCAACAATGAAATATTTTCAATGCATAAGGATGATGTACACTATGCTGTCGCAAAATATGTCACAATTCAAACTAGGAAGAATATTGTTGACACACGACGCTATGAAAATATTGCCTACTGTTTACTCTATTTCTTTCATGAAATAACACAGATGAATTAATCATATAATACTACTTGAATTTTTTCCTACATAAAACATTTGTTGGGCATCAGCACCAATGCGATACGTGCTCGTGATGCACACATACAATTGTATATACGTGAATATTCGTTTCACATTTTGTGAGGATTACGTCGGCACAATTAAATATTGTATTTCAACTAGTGATGCAACGACAGCGATCGTCGCTTATCGACGGTTCGCCGTAGGTAGGATGAAACGAAGCACCTTTGTTTTTCTAATTAATTAATTAATTTAACTACTCAAGTAATTCAGAAACATGCAAAAATGAAAGCTATTAAGAAGTTGTTCAGGATGAGAAATTATTGTGCTATTCACAATTCCTAGCAAATCACCAATCGAAAATGCTACTCAAATGTAATCGAAATTTTTTTCTGGTTTGATGAGAATCATTAGCTCTATGGAAAGAGAGAGGCAAAAGCGAGAGTGTGAGTGTCTTCTTTTATTATTCACATCCATACTATCATCCTGCAATAGATATTGTCCAATATGTCGAAATCAGGGATATTAGAATTTTCCTTTCAATCCGTAAGCATTTTCCTGTGTATATCGTTCGTTATTCATTAGCTTTTTCTCGGCTTTCCTTTTATTTTTCAGAAATAAACAAGACTCTTTTTCAAAGCTACTTTTTTGCCGTGGTATTTCATTGTTCTCACCAGCAGCCTTTAAAGGTACTCGTTCTTTTTTGTGAAAATCGTTTGGAAAAACTTTTTATACAGACTATAATTAGATCATATGTTGTTGCTTGGATCAGCCTTCGAACGAATTCAGTCAGGTGTGTCATTCGCATGCTAATCGATGTTCATGGGAGATTCTTGACTAAAAATGTTTTTGAGTGAGAGTGTGAATAGATAATAATGCTCTTGTTTTACTCACCCTCACTTTCAAGATGTTACAAAGATGTATGTACTGTTGACAAAACTGAAATTTAGCCATATTTAAAATTTGCCTAGTCCAAACAGAAATTTCAATTTAGCCTAAACATATGTATATATATATGAGAATGTGTGCGAAATAAAAGAAAAGAATGCATCGATATTTTCATTGGATAATCAATCGTCATCGTTCTGCTTTTAATAACTCATTCATTTCATTGTACGTTATTGTCAGAGGTCACAAACATTAACGAATATGGATGCATCTCATACTCATCTCCTTCATTTACCAGATGAAATATTATTGAATATTTTCAAAAACCTAGGTAATACTTCTGTTCTTTATTCTTTACTTGGCATTAATAACAAACGACTGGAAAATATCATCCGACATAGATCCTTTTCTAATGAATTGAATATTGCATCGATGACAAAAGATATTTCAATAATTCATCCAATACTTGATCGATTTTGTGATTATATAATACCTCANACATCCTTCACATCTCAAAATCCCAATCGGTTTAAAACAAATTGTGCAGGATGCTTTTACAGTTGATGGTGGTCTTTCGGAAGTTGTTGCCGACACAGCTGCCATTTGGGTTTCACTTTGAGCTGTTACTTTACTCAACAATGAAATATTTTCAATGCATAAGGATGATGCACACTATGCTGTCCCAAAATATGTCACAATTCAAACTAGGAAGAATATTGTTGACACACGACGCTATGAAAATATTGCCTACTGCTTACTCTATTTCTTTCATGAAATATCACAAATGAATTAATCATATAATACTACTTGAATTTTTTCCTACATAGAACATTTGTTGGGCATCAGCACCAATGCGACACGTGCTCGTGATGCACACATACAATTGTATATACATGAATAGTCGTTTCACATTTTGTGAGAACTACGTCGGCATAATTAAATATTGTATGTCAACTAGTGATGCAACGAAGCACCTTTGTTGTGCTATTCACAATTCCTAGCAAATCACCAGTCGAAAATGCTACTTAAATGTAATCGAAATTTTTTTCTGGTTTGATGAGAATCATTATCTCTATGAAAAGAGAGAGGCAAAAGCGAGAGTGTGAGTGTCTTCTTTTATTATTCACATCCATACTATCATCCTGCAATAGATATTGCCCAATATGTCGAAATCAAGGATTTTAGAATTTTTCCTTCAATCCGTAAGCATTTTCCTGTGTATATCGTTCGTTATTCATTAGCGTTTTCTCGGCTTTCCTTTTATTTTCCAGAAATAAACAAGACTCTTTATCAAAGCTACTTTTTTACCGTGGTATTTCATTGTACTCACCAGCAGCCTTTAAATGTACTCGTTCTTTTTCGTGAAAATCGTTTGGAAAAACTTTTTATACAGGTTATAATTAGATCATATGTTGTTGCTTGGATCAGCCTTCAAACGAATTCAGTCAGGTGTGTCATTCGCATGCTAATCGATGTTCATGGGAGATTCTTGACTAAAAAAGTTTTTGAGTGAGAGTGTGAATAGATAATAATGCTCTTATTTTACTTACCCTCACTTTCAAGATGTTACAAAGATGTATGTACTGTTGACAAAACAGAAATTTCAATTTAGCCTAAACATATATATATATATATATATATGAGAATGTGTGCGAAATAAAAGAAAAGAATGCATCGATATTTTCATTGGATAATCAATCGTCATCGTTCTGCTTTTAATAATTCATTCATTTCATTGTACATTATTGTCCGAGGTCACAAACATTAACGAATATGGATGCATCTCACACTCATCTCCTTCATTTACCAGATGAAATATTATTGAATATTTTCAAAAACCTAGGTAATACTTCTGTTCTTTATTCTTTACTTGGCATTAATAACAAACGACTGGAAAATATCATCCGACATAGATCCTTTTCTAATGAATTGAATATTGCATCGATGACAAAAGATATTTCAATAATTCATCCAATACTTGATCGATTTTGTGATTATATAATACCTCANACTCATCTCCTTCATTTACCAGATGAAATATTATTGAATATTTTCAAAAACCTAGGTAATACTTCTGTTCTTTATTCTTTACTTGGCATTAATAACAAACGACTGGAAAATATCATCCGACATAGATCCTTTTCTAATGAATTGAATATTGCATCGATGACAAAAGATATTTCAATAATTCATCCAATACTTGATCGATTTTGTGATTATATAATACCTCAAATTTCTGTCAATATCAAGTGTCTCATTCTTGAGCCACGGTATATGGAAGGTGTTTTGTTTGCCATTCATTATCCGAATTTAAGCGAATTGAAAATTGTACACTATGACCACGATCAAATGTTAACTTCTTACATAAGTAGTCAAATAATTACAATTTGGACCTAGATAATGTAATGTATGTCTTTATTTAGATAATTTATCGTTTCGACATATTTTAAAACAACAAATTACAAAACTTGACTTGATGTACAACTGTAAAACGATTACACCAAGATCACTGAAACTTATTGCGAAATCAGTTCATGCACAAATTTTGATTGACGGCGAAAGGTTACAACATTTGAGTGTTACTTCATCTACAGGTTTGTTATATGCAAGCTTAGTACTTCGTTATTTACCACCGACCATCTTTACTTCTTCAACACTTACTTATCTACGTATTAATGTACAAACTTTCACTGATCTTCTCTATCTACTTGATGGTCGATTCAAACAATTGCATACTTTAATTGCCCACATTTATTCTATGGAAACCGATTCATCAGTTGTATATAACACAGTAAATATTTTTTTTCAAATGAATAAATTAAATACTTTGAGAAATACATGAATCTCAATAAAATATTCTTCTATTTTATAGGATGATTTACCTAATCTGAAGTGTTTTTCATTTGTATATTATTATGAAAGTCCACAATATTATAACGTTTTACGTCATCTTTGTCGTATGAAAAACTTGGAAAAACTTACGTTATATATACGCATCGTCTTCGAAACTACATTCATAGATCCCATTGATCTCATCAATCAATTTTTAATGAATGCATCCGAACTTCAGTCTTTTAAGTTTTATCTTGGTACAAGAAGTAAAAGAACTGATTTAATTCATTATTTATCTGAGAACGATATTAAACAAAATTATATGAAAAACGTCAAATGTCAAGAGATATCAAATTTCGTTCAGTATAATGGTGATTCAGGTATCAACCATATGTTCACACTTCCTTTTCAATTCGAATATCTTCAAGATGTTGGAAATATATTTCCAGATATTCTATTCAGCAATGTCGTTGATTTATGTGTATGTGATAATACTCCATTTGAACATGAATTTTTTCAACGAATAAGTCGAAGTTTTCCAAAGCTTCGAGCACTTACTGTAGTCAACACGAAACCATGGTTATATAAAACGGGAGTACCATCTGATAATATGATTCCATCATATGAAATAGTCGAGTATCCGCATCTAAGTTTTCTTGATATTTCAACAGTAAGTAATTATTATATCGAAGAATTTCTCAATGAAACTAAAATACGTTTATCATGTCTACTTGAATTAAAAATCGATTATGAAAGATTAAGAGTAATTACCAAAGATTTTACACGAGAAAGCACACGACATAATTGTGCAAATGTGCAACGATTAATTATTTATAGAGCAATTGTTGGTTCGAAAGATTATTATGATTATTTTCCTTTATTGTAAATTGTTTCCTTATACTTGAATAATAAAATACTATTAATAAATGCTGAAAGAAACAGTTCAAATGTATATTGTTAAGAGAAATCAATTCTCTTTGTTCTGTTGTTGTCGTAGTTGACTTTCGAAATCGGCTAAAAAANCTTCCCATCCAAGACTCAATTGGGAAGAAATGTCCATCATTGCGGGAAACATATCCCGAATTGCTTGTGGGCCGAAAGCAGGCATCAAGATTTTGTGTGCAAGTTTCCAGTTGGGTTCGGATGTATGTGCAGTGAACAAGCCATCACCAGCTGGAAATCTTAATTCTTCGAGGACTGGATCAACGTTTTTATCAAATTTCGTTTCATCGCATAAAAAATTGGTAAGTTCTTGATTACATACGATGACGATGTTCTGATCGAGAATTGTCAATCGATAGATATCACCATACAATTGGTGTAATCTTTTTAATGAGTTCAGAGTTTGAACTGGGTCCAATTCTTTCAAATTTCCAATAATCCACTTTTTCGGCGGTTGTGGAATCGCTTTTGCCATGGTAATCGACTTGAAAATGCTTTGGAATTCTGAACGATATCGAAGCCCTTTTATTAATCACCATTTTTTTCTGTTCTGTTAGTACAAGTCACCTCACTGAAATACAGGTACGTCTTCAGAGGACGTCCGCAGAATACGTGTAAAAATAGAACGTAATTGAATTGCCTGATGAATCATCATCATGTGAAGAATAACGCGTATGCAATATAGAAAGCAGATTATTGCGGCATCGATAGTATGTAATTCAAAAATATTTCAATTTGCCAGTCAGGATTATTTGATTTAATTATATCTACCGATGATTTGTGCTTTGTTTTAAATCGATGACAGCACACGCTATCCTCTTTCTCGTCGTTTTCACCACCCTTATGCGTAAAATATGACAGAACGAAAAAGAAAAAATAATAGTCAACGTGCACTACCATTCATTTGAAGGGCTGATAAAAAAAACGACAACTACTATTTTTCTTTTATACATTCGTAAAACAAAATCATCAATATCTAATCTTTAAAAGCAAATGGCTAACTTGAATTCGAACAGACATGTTATTGTTATCGCACCAAACGAGAAAACATTTGAAAAAATCATGTCTATTGTCCAATGTGCAGACAATTGTGGTGAAACAAAACATGTAAGTGGTATTAAATTAGATGGACATAAGATATAAGTTATATTATTATAGATCGCTGAATCTACCAATGAAGATAAAACAAAGGGATCGCATAAACGACGTAAAACCGATTTGACCTGCGTTGTATGTAATGATAAATGTTCTGGATATAATTTCAATGTCATTTCTTGTGAATCATGTAAATCATTTTTTTATCGAAATTCCACACAAAATCTAGTAAGACATTATTTCTATTCCCTCTGTTTCATAATTATGTTCTCCTTGTTTAATAGAAGGATCTCAAATGTTTAACAGATACGAAGAATTGTATTGTAAATTTTCAAAATAGACGTAAAATGTGCAGATACTGTCGACTTCAGAAATGTTTATCAGTTGGTACGTAGGTTATTTGATTATGACTAGAATCTATAGCAAAGAAATTTGATGGTATAGGTATGAAATGGATGTCTTCGACAAGTGATAAGTTAACTAGACAACAACAAGTAGAAGAAAATCGACGATTTACAGAGAATAGAACAAATAGTCTCATACAAAGAAGCTCTGTCAACTTTTCTCCGCATGAAAATGATGACGAAACTTTAGAAACAGTGCGTAGAATTTGGACGATAGAAAAACGAAAATAGATCTACTATTTTGAAGGAACCAGCTATCGAACAACTTCTCGCTTCTCAATCACCATGTCGACCACTTTCCCAAGAACATTTTCTCACAAGCGACGATCACAATCGTCTCAATTTGATAAAATCTTGTTACGAAAAAGCTTTTCAACATGCAACAGTCAAACGCGACATATCTGTTTTCGATCGTACAATTGACCGACGTTGGGGTTTGCTCTATTCCGCTTCACTTTTCTATGATATGGGTATGAAAATCATAACATTCAGTCGAAGTATTCCGGAATTCGAATCACTCAATGAACAAGATCGATTTATACTAATTAAATATAATTCCCCTATGGTGTTTCACATGCGTCTCTCTTTAATCTTTGATCCAAATAAAGATCTTGTTATTGAACCGGAAGCTGAAAGCGAAGAACACGCCATGATTTGTGAACAAATATCACAATACTGTTATGGAAGTCAATTAAGTTTATTATCAAATGAACTTCTCCGTTCGATTAAGAACATTTCTGATGATGATCCGATGGTTTTAAAACTAATGATAATCATACTATTGTTTGGGAAATCTGTCGCAGCTGAAGATATTATCATAAATGATCAACCAATTCTTAGAAATGGCAAACAAGTCTATGAAGCACAGTTGATCTATACAAATCTTCTCTTTCGTTATATGATCGAAAAATATTCGGATTATTATCAAGCAGTACGTCAATATTCACAGTTAATACAAAAAACGATCCAAATGCAACTTTTAACACGAACATTTCTACAATTTCTACACGAACAACTAATTAATACAGGAGATGATGAAGTTAACCCGATTATTAAATCAATTTTACTCATAAGTTAAATAATTTGTTGTTCATTCATGACAATGGGTTAAGACTTGCATAAAGTTGTAAATACAAAATTAGGGAAGAAGACATATCGTGACGTACTCTTGATAGGATGGAAATAAACCATTCTTGGCCAATATATATATATTATATGGCATGTTATAATCAGCTTAGTTATTCAAATTTTTCATGTCACAATAAATTTCTATATGTAACGTATTCGAAAAGTTTTATCGCGTGTTTCGTCTATTAGATCTAAGCAGGAGCTGATTGTAGCACTGACACATTGAGGACTCTACGTAGAATTTCATATTTATATGTTTAATGCACTATGGAAATTTCTCATTTCTTCACGATGAAATTTGCATTATTGCACAGCGGTTTTCAATCTTTCAATGCTTTGTGTTTAGAGAGTCTTCATGAAAACACCACTCGAATCCGTTATCGAAAAAAATTGACTTTCAAAATAGAATAAGTAGAATGAAAAAGTAACTCCGAACCCCCGCAGTGTTTGTGATTTCTCAGGAACGATGTCACAATACCATTATTCTGAATATCCTTCTCAGGACGGATTTGTGCTTGACTAAAAGGTCGAGAGTTGTTTAAAATATCTCGAAAGTAATTAATACCAGAAAGATACTATTGAAATGAAAATCGGATGACTGTGTGATCAAAATGGAACATATGTCTGTGCTGTTCAATACGACAGTTACGAAAAGTAATTTGAAGAAAATGTGTATTAACAACAATGAACGTACCAAAGCCAATCCTTCGTTTAAAAACAATATGTTTCAACTGAAAACAGTTTCGATGTGTTACATTTCTTGTAAAATCTTTTGTTACATATGTCAATAGTTTGTATGCGATACACAGCCTGTTCAAACAAGAAAATCGTGTAGTCGAGTCACGTAGAAACTGTTCCACATAGTCCATATGAACAAGGGAATAGTCAAGTTCGACAAGATGCAAAAAGTGAATAATCGACAATGTATTTCCATGACGTTCTTTTTGTTTTGTAACGTTACTATGTCTCATACAACGAAGCAGTAGAAATGAATTGAAAATTTTAGCAAAGAATCCGTGTTCGAATGGATGATCCATGTCTCTCAAATGTAGGACACGAATATTGATGAATCTAACGTGCTTATTAATAATATTGAAATGAAACGTATGTAAATGTAATAATCGACCGACAGTAAAAATTGTTCAAATAGCTTCCATCAATGAAAGAATCTCTTAAACTAATCCGAATAGATCAAATAAGCTCTTCCAAATATAACATTCGGCGAAGAAAAGGTAACATGATGTTATCGAATTCAGTTGTTGCAAAACATACAGATAAGAAAAACATTTTAATCGATATGGATTCGTCTAAACAAAAAAAAACATACATAATCATTTCATCTGTTCATTGATACAAGCAATCAAAAAGACCGTTCTATCTTTACTTGTTTCAATATAACTCGAGAATAAATCAAATTGAACTGAAGTAACAATACATAAGAAAGATGCACCATTGCGCCACAAATGACTGAAACATCTCTCATCCATTTCACTGGTATTTTGAAGAACTGTATGTAAAGATGACGACAGTAGTTTTTTAATTACCATGCTGTTCATGATTTTCACTATGAACAAACAACATATTGTAGATGGCATTCTAGTCAATAACGATTGGTAAAATAGAGAATAATCGTCACTATATAAATCCAATTGTTTCAGATTTGTGCGCGGTACAAAAGTACCATTGTAAATGTAAGTTATTAATTTGCCGTGCAATTTACTCCGAACTTTGTCACGGATCGTCAAAACAAGATCTGATATTTGCTGTAAAACAGGAAGAAATCAAGATTTCTCTAAAAACATACAGTTTAATTGTTTGATGTCGATAGAAGAATCACGAACCATCGAAAATGTGGCATGCCATACGAATTCTGAAACCGTTAATAACAAATTTTCGTAAATTAGGATACTTGGTAACAGAAAGAACTTGTGACAAGATAGTCGCTTGCAGAGTAAGAGACCCGACGTTGTCAGAAATTCGAGGAAGTATATCGACACAAAATTGATCAAGTACTGCATTAGCTTTTGAATGTATCAGTCGTAGCGGTTCAATTGACGTCAGATTAACAAGTCGAGTAAAACCAAGACCACATAGAACTTGACCGAGATTCTTATGAACACCAATCAACGAATTTAAAACATCGAAATTGTTATGTTTATTCAAAATATAAAGCAAAATTTCATCAGATAAATTGACAATGTTCACAATTAACTTGTCCATCTTTATTCTCTTTCAGACGATTCGAAACAGCTACATGTATATATGTGTTCCTTGTTTATATGCTATCCATATATTGTAGGCAGAATTACAATTTTGCCTAGGCAAATTACGAATTTACCTGAAATTCAATTTTACCTACAGCATATATATTGTATACATACACGCCGAGAAGGATTAATGTTTATTCATATTTTCAAATTTAGAGCAGATTAATGAAAGAAGCATTGAACACAATTTTATGCAAAAACATCAACACTATACCGATCCAATGACATATTCTCTAATATTTTTCCTGCTGCCTGTTCATCACATTGTTTCATTTCTTCAATGATCTTCACAAAACATGTTTTCACTGAAGCACCCAACTTTCTTGCACTACCACATGTATAAAACCTTGCTCCATCATCATACAACTTCGCGATTTCTTTTCGATCTTCCCAAACCAGATCTTGAACATATTTCTTTCCATCGATTATCTCACGAGAGAAAACACTTCTCACTTCAACTGCACCCACTTTTGCCCATTTCTCCAACTCATCAGCATACAAGAAATCCTCTCTTGTTCGACAACCATAGTACAGAACTGCTCGTCCAACTTCTCTTCCACATACCAACTGAGCTGCTCTCTCTTGGATAAATCCTCGAAATGGTGCAATGCCTGTTCCTGCTGCCATCATCACGATCGGTACTCGAGTATCTTCAGGTGGATGAAATCGAACATTACTCGCTCGAATACAACAGTTGATCTTGTCTGATTCTTTCAGATTCGCCAAATAGTTCGATGCCACACCAAAATATTGTCCAACTCCACTCAACGATGGAGTGTTGATCACATCAATGGTCAATGTCACAACTTGTGCATTCCACAGAGGTGAAGATGAAATACTGTACTGACGAATGCGAAGAGCAGGCAACATTCGAAGATATTGTGCAAAAGACAGTTCACATGATGGATACAATTCGAGAATATCCAACACACTGACACGTTTCTCCAGAATCTCTTTCTCATACGAATCTCCAGCAAGATTTCGAAGAGTGATTTGTTCTTTCTCATTGTGACAAACATCAGCAAGAATTTCGATCTGTCGTTTGCTGATTGGTTGAGCTAGTTCGACATAACCACTCAAGATGTCGAATGCACTGATGGGATAGTTAGTTGGAAAGAATGTGTTCGTTGATGATGCAATCTTCACATGAGTGTCACTAGACAGGTTGAATCGTTTGAGAACACGAGAGACGACTTCGATTGGATTCGTGGGTAAAACAGCGAGATAATCACCAGTTCGATAAGTTTGTCCGGTAGGCAGTTGAATCTCGAGATGTCGTTTCATCGGTCCGATTTCATTCGCTTCGACTAAACATTCGTTTTTCATCACAATGCCGAAGTCGGTCATCTGTCCCAGATTTCTCTTCGTATTCACAATTTCGATGGAAAGCTTTTCATCACTGATGACATTACGATTGTCGGTATGTTTTTGCAATAATGTTCGAAAGAGATCTTCTTTCCAGCATTCAAATGCACCGAAGAAGTCACCTGCAGCATCACCCGCACCTCGATCGATGATTCGTGTGCCACCAGTACTTGCAATCATCTGATCGATATGAGCTGGAATCTTGTGATATGTGTCCACCCAGTCACGATGACCAGCTCCAAAAACGGCATAATTGATGGGTAAATCGGGTTTGGTTTCGAGATATGCAACGAATTGTTTGGCATTTTCACAGGGTTGTCCTTCATATGAAGCAGTGATAATGATAACAGGTCGATCGGTGGGAAGATGTCCAACAGCAGAGTCGAGAGTGGACACACTTGCATTGTAACCATAGAGAGATGCTTCGGATGCCAGTGTTTCTGCAAAGGATTGACAAGAGCCAGAATTACTACCAAAGAGAACACACATTGGTCGGAGATCTTCTCGATTTGATTTTGTTTCTGGCGCTTTCTCTGATTTCTTTGTTGTTGTTGTTGTTGTTGATGATGAGTGGAGTGCGAATCCGATCTGTTGTCGGGGTCGAACGCGCATTTTGAAACCCTCGGGTTTGATAGTTAATGTTTGTTTGATGCGAAGATCGTAAGCAGGATCGACGAATTCGAGATGAAAATGTTTGAGAATGAGTGCGAGAGCGAGAAGACTTTCTTGCCATGCGAAAGGTCGACCAATACAAGCACGTTGACCGTTACCAAATGGTTTCCATGAGTTGGGTGGAAGTTTCTCAAATCCACCATTTAACATGCGCTCAGGTCGAAATTCTTCAGGTTGATCCCAAACTTTCGGATCACGATGCAGCTGTGGTAAAAGAATGGATATCGTATCATTCTTATGGACTTCATAACCGCCAGGAAGTATAATATCGCCCACCTTAGATGCGACATTAAATCCAGGTGCCGTGGGCTGTAAGCGAAGTGTCTCTTTCAGTATCGCATCGATGTATTTCAGTTGACCTAATACATCAATTGTAATTTCACTGAATTGATCGATTTCTGCTTGTGCCTTTTGTAAGACATGAGGATTTTTCAGAAGATAATAGAGAGTAAATGAGAGTAGTCCAGATGTTGTTTCATGTCCGGCAACCAAGAAAGTGATAATCTGATAGCGAATATTTTCATCAGATAGCTGATAGCCAGTGTCAGGATCTTTGCCATTGATCATTCGATTGAGTAGGTCATTGACATCATTTGGATGTTTTCGTCGTTCTTTGACAATATCATCACACAGTTGATGAAGATATGCAGTATCTTTATGATAACGGCGTGTACTTTTGACCATCATTTTGTTTACAAAAGAAGGTCGTTGACTTCGTTTGCCACTTTCAACAAGAACATTAGCCATCGATTTAACAAAACGATTTATAGTCGTTTGATAAAAAGTATTGAATCGGTAATTAAAAGCACACAAAGCAATGGTATCCAATGTGAGGCGAGTTAAATTATCACAAACATCAATTTCTTCACCAGCAAATCGTTCCCATCGAAGAATCAATTGTGAAGAAATGTCCATCATTGCGGGAAACATATCCCGAATTGCTTGTGGGCCGAAAGCAGGCATCAAGATTTTGTGTGCAAGTTTCCAATTAGGTTCCGATGTCGATGCAGTGAAAAGTCCATCACCGACTGAATTTCTTAATTCTTGAAGAGCAAAATCAACGTGCTTGTCGAATTTTGTTTCGTCGCACAAGAAATTGATAATCTCTTGAGTAGATACGACAACAAGTGTTTTGTCGAATATGTTCAATCGATAGATATCACCGTACAACTTTTGTAGCCGAATAAACGAATTCAAAGTGTGATCAGGATCCAATTCTTTCAAATTACCGATTATAAATGTTTTTTCAGGTTGTGGAATTGGTTTGCTCATGATTATTGTTTACCGAATAATAGTTATGTTGAAATAACAGAAAATGCTACCGACTTTGTTAGGTTTGTACTTTGTTATTCGAGCACTTTTTCGTTTCTCAATCATTCACGAGTAAAATCGTTACCTTTTATTCAATACTTCTTTCCGTTCGATGCGTATGGGTGATATGGGTTGTTTTGACATAAAATGTATGTATGCAGCGGACGTCCTCGGAATACGTTCGAAAAGTGCGCGTGCGTTCGTAGGAAACGAAACTCAGGTGAATTATTCGAAAAGCCTTGAATCAGTTAGTCATACAAACACGCGTACTTGATAAAACTTATGCGAGTTATATATCAAACATCTTTTCAAATGATATTATTTGCTTTGATACGGTCGTTAGAATGTTTTTTTTTTCGTGTAAATAAACAAGAAGTTTGATCAGAAACGGTTGTCATGCATTCACTTCGTTTCAACATTTTATTGATTACGCACGTTGCAACAGAACGAAAAGTGCGTAGTTTTCTTTTCTTCTATCTGTAGTAGTTAACCATCGATAACATGTGATTCAATGCTACTCAAATACGCACACGTAGTTACTCTTGTTGTGGTAGTTTTTCTTCGTTGAGTCAATGTTTAGCTTTTTACTTTATGATATCTTATAGATAGGGACAAACAAACTTATCCTCGGCTTGAAAAGTAGATGGCAAATGGCAATCCTTCAATTAAAAATAGTCAGCAGACTAATGTAATCGTTGTCACAGAAGATGATGAAGCATTTCAAACGATTATTTCTCTTGTTAAAAAATCCAACAATGGTAACACATCAAACAATGTGGTAAAACGAGTTGTAAGCGTTGTCAAATTATATATGCATAGTATTAATTCTGAAATTATATTTAATACAGATCCCCGAATCAAATGTTGATCACACACCGATTTCATACAAACGTCGTAAAGCTGATTTGACTTGTATGGTATGTAATGGTCGATGTTCGGGATACAATTTCAGTGTTATTTCCTGTGAATCATGTAAAGCTTTCTTTTATCGAAATGCGTCTGAAAACTTGGTAAATAATCAATTATTGTGATAATTCGCATGCTTTTGCTATCTCTACTCGATAGAATGTTCTAAAATGCTTAACTGGCACTAATGATTGCAACATAGAATGCAACAACAAACGTAAAATGTGCAGACGTTGTCGACTTCAGAAGTGTTTGTCAGTTGGTATGAAATGTGCGTCGAACGCAGATCAACGATTGAATAAACAACGACATATGGAAGAGAACCGGCGATTAGCTACTATGCAATCGAGCGTGACAAGTATTTCTCTCGAGGATATTGATGAATCGACAGATGAATATGCAACAGTGTTGATATCGCAAAACGTAAACAAACTTGTCGAGTATTTCGAAATCTTTTCTCTCATCACATTCGTTTCTATCATTTTAGAAGTCAACTGTGGAACAATCTCATACTACTCACCAGTACTTCCTCACCTTCGATGATTTTAATCGTATTAATTCACTTACACGTTCCTATGAAAGAGCTTTCCGATTCTCAACAGTCAGATATGATGCATCTGTGTTCGATCGTATAACTGACCGACGTACGGGTTTACTTCATACAACATCGATCTTCTACGACATGGGTATGCAATTGATTACATTTATTCGAAGTATTCCAGAATTCGAATCACTCAATGAACAAGATCGATTTATCTTGGTGAAATATAACGCTCCTCTGACACTTTACGTTCGTTTATGTCTACATTATGACCTACAAAAGGAGCTCGTGATAGTTTCAGAAGTTGAAAATGAAGAACATGCGGTGGTTTGCAAAAAATTGTGTTTGTATTCTTTTGGAAATCAGATAGAATCGTTATCGACTGAGCTATTTCGATCGATCAAGAAGATTACTGGAGACGATCCAGTGATTTTTCAACTGATGTTGGTTATATTAACATTTACTAAAAGTGTCACAGCTGAAGATCTTATCATGAATGATCAACCGGTTCTTGTGAATAGCAAACAAGTGTATGAGATACAATCCACCTATGCCAATCTTCTCTTTCGCTATATGCTTCAAAAATATTCAACGTATAATCAAGCAGCGTGTCAGTATTCAATATTGATACAAAAGATACTTCAAATACAAGTCTTAGTACGAGCATATCAAGAGTTTTTACACGAACAACTAGTTGACAGCGGGGATGATGAAATAAATCCGATTATAAAATCAATATTACGTCTATAAGCGAAAATATTTCTTTGTAATTCATTCACCACGAAACATTTCGAGGACAACGAAATCGTGGTGAATGTTTTAGTCTTGAATAGTTTATTTTTAATAAAAAACCTACGAAAAAAAAGGCATTATTGTTTGTTCACCTGCTCTAAAGAGAGCGCCGGAGATTTTATCCAAAGTGAACTCAGCTCAACAAAGTAATGTTGATGATTGTACCATCGAGATACCTCGCGCTGTCGTTTATTTCGATAGTTCTCGTCGAAAAAGTATTCCCGACAAAGTGTATAAATAAAACGTCGTTGAATGTGTAGAATACGTCATTGCGTCTTAAGTCTTGGGCGCCAGATTTACCTGTACAAATCTCAAAGTACTTCTCGGAATATTCTCAGTTGATGGAACAACTTGGCGCCGGTATCGCATATGACTATACGTTTTGCTATTTTCAATGAACTGTGAAAATATCGGTCAATACACGCAAATACAATTGACCAACACGATGTTGTCCGAACCGAAAAAGAGAGAAAAAACTTGATTTTAGATACGATAATATTGTATTATACAACTGTTGTTGTTACTGTACTGATTTGATGGATTAGCACACTGTTTTATGACATAATTTGTTTTAGAACCTAGAAAAGATGCACCTCATGTGTAGTAAAACAAATTCCGAGACACTATTTGAAAGAAAGTATAAAAGATAAAATAGCAAAGTTACTGTGATTTTATAGACACTTTTCAAATATGTTGTTCTCATCAATTGAAAAGGTAATCTATTTTGATCTGTAGAGGATTAAAAAAATGTTAACTGATAGAAATCTCTTCTAATCAAATAATCAATAATTTTGTCTAATGAAACGGTCTGACATGGAAAACGATTTACAGGACTAAAACTATCGCCTTTCTCTTCTTTTTTCGGCAGTCTTGTGCGAATGAATGACTTTCATGTTCGTTGAAATTGTACAAACTGATCGAAAACTAAAAGAAATTTGTTTGTATATAGGTTAGTTAGAGAACAATCGCGGATTTAGAGAGCACGAATTTGGGAGGTGAATCATCTAGGAAATTAAAACATAATTTTTCTCCAGAGAACAGATTATCTAATTAGTTTTATTCAAAAGACTTTCACACAATCACTCTTCAAGCTTTTCTCAAAATGAAAACTAATCTATTTTCAAATTTGAGATACCAACAATATAGTCGGAGTAGTGTATTGCTATATACTAAATCTCCTATGGAATTGTAGATTTCACAAGAGAACTGTTTAGATTTACGAATCACACAACGTTTCCTCTAAGCGTAGTTTCGAAACTTTTTCTAATCTTCGTAGAACATCAAGAAATCTCGCTTAGATCTTATGACAAGGAAAATCCTTTCAAAACAGATGAATGCAGATTCTGTGCCCATTCTCAAAGACCTGAGATAAAAGCTTGGAAAACTTTTCTATAATTTGAAATTGCTTCTTCGACAGTTCTTTTCTGAAATTGTTCGATAATACAATCCATAGCTTGGAAAAACAAAATTTGTCTTATATCTAAAGCGCTGGTTTGATTTCCAATCGTAAGCATGGACCTATACACAGCAAAAAATCAGCGATTGACAATGTTTTACATCGCTGATAAACCGGCATTATAATAGAATATTTGCAATGCTCCACACGACATAAATTCTGTTAGTTCCATTCGAGGTGATCAAAACTTTCGAGGAAGTCTTCACGAGAAATGTAAGCATTAGCTGTTCGTCAAGTATGGAAACTGTTCTTGATCATTCTTCACCATCAAATGCGATAAACATTCAAGTTTGATTTAATACCAAACAATACTTATACTTTCTCAGACGTCTTTCATTTGTACAGCATTTGTTTGAGATTTGGCATTTCAATTAGATTCTTCTACGTCACTTCCATCAATCAGTGATTTATTATCCAGTTACATCTCATTTCACACCCTCATTCTCATCCTCGAGAACAATGAGCCATGAGACATCTACTCAACACAAACAAAGTATTGTTTCCACTATGAAAAAAGGAGTATTGCACCTTTATAACCAACGAATTGAATAACGAAATATTTCAATAAAAGCTTTTTCGTTTCAACTAGACGTATTGACATTTCATAAAGTGACAAACTGAATCTTAAGTAACCGATGAAGAGAAAAATATCATAGCATCTGACAATGGTTTCAATGGGTTTTTTTTTTCTTTTCTAAAAGTGCAATCATTTTTACTTTTTTCTTCTTCCCACTATTCAAGAAAGAGAACTAAAAACGATTGTGAATGTGCATAACTGTTACCATTAGTAAAAACAAACACTCTACCAACAGGCTATTGTTATTGTGAGAAGTTTTAGAAATTTTCCATTGACGAACAGTGCTGATAATCATGGGTTGCTCAGACTCGAAAAGTGCAGATGCGTTACAACCAGCCAGTGATGAGTTGGATAACATGAAGGCGCGACTCACACAACGCCTACTTAATCGCGACGCAACTAAAACACATAGTAAAAATGCCTTTGCCGCGTAAGTTAGGTTTAGTTTGTATTTACTTGATAAACCAATATGAGTTCTGACTCTGCTTCGTCTCTAGTGTTTTGAACAAATATCCGGATGCGAAGAAAGTCTTTCGCGTCCCTGAAACTACCAGTGCCGATACACAACTTGTCGATACCAAAGAAGTGAAAGCAGCTAGTGATAAGATTTTGAGCCACTATATGGATCTAGCGAAGACGGCGGACAGTAATCTTGACGATGCTATTCAAAAGAAAGCTGAAGAACTCAAGAAGCAAGGCGTCAAAGCCGAACATGTTAAGGTAAAAACTCTCCTCTGATCATTCAGTGATTCATTGCAGTGTATTTTTCGCTGTAGTGTTATGGAGAAGCTCTTGCGCAAAATGCCGTCAAAGATACGGACAATAAGCTGACTGCTGAAGAAGAGAAAGCCTGGAAGAATTCGGTCAATAACATAACAGCCAAACTTACTGCTGCTATGAACAAACTACCCTAATCATCTTGCGTCACTATCGTCAGCAACAAGCAAAAGACACGTCTAATTCTTTTTGTATCAAAATGAAATGTATTACTAGATTTTTCTTTCCGACAACAAGATAAAAACCAGAAAAGGATGAAATATGCACCGATGAATTAGATTTTGTAATAAGAATTAAATATTTGAAATTTCGACGAAGATATCGGTCTAGCCGATTGTACTGATATAGAGATTAGATGCAAAATAAATATGCATACTCTGCCGTCGTCTTCATCTTCAAAACACGAAGTATATGGATAGAAATCCTCTCTCAAGGTCATTCTCATGTTGCATAACGTAGGAAGCGACCAAAAATCTCAGTGGAAATTTGCAATATACTTCGTGCTTTGCAAAACCATGTTAATATCTTATAGGAGTGAGTTAGTGGTACAGATATCTTTATCTACTATGCTTTCGTATGTTTACTCACATTTACGCTTACCCAATAGCTGGGTACTTCTTGTCAGCACGTATGTGACAATAGCAAGCCACACAAGATCCATGAGTCTTCAAAGCTTTATGCAATGTGTAGTTATGATTAATATTTCTTTTCAACAGTTGCAGACTACTAGCTACAATGGTGCATTCAAACCTATTACATGAACAACAACAGAACAAAAGCAACTTTTTTAATCAAGAAGCGCGGCATTTTGCAATGCTAGTTCTTCCAAAGCGTTACATATGTTACGAAAATATTCATTCAACTGATTGTGAATTGCAACATTATGTCTAAATGTCTCGCGAAGACTACGAATGTACTTCTGACCAGTCAACAACAATTCTTCATTTAGCTTTTCAAAGATACATATGCCCACAGTTTGTCCATTGAGTTGTTGTTGATAGAAATCTATCCAATCTTGAACATAAAATTGCTTATCAGCGTGACAAAAAACTGTCAAATTCCGAAGATTATTCGACATATCGAAACCATCTCTCAGCCATTGATACAGATTATCTTCATATGCATATAATGTATGGCCCGGATGAGGATTATTCCTAATGTAAGTTCGACAGTTTTGACTTTGAGGAAAGACTTGTATGAATGCCAATAGATTAGCATGAGGTATTGGTATAATAGGGAATGCGGTTGACGTTTCACAAAGTAGCAGAATGCATTCTGTAGCGTGTTGAAAGAGATTGCCGTCGAATTGAATATCGGAAATAGTATACATCTACAATAAAATATGATAAAAATAGGATCTAAGCGTGCTTACATGATTTATTTTCAAAGTTTTATATAGTCCTCAAAGTTCTTTTAGAATACGCTGGAGTCTGGCGGCTTTATTGAACATATCTTTAGCTGATGTTGTATCTTTTACGGCG